ATCAGAGAACCACGGGGGGCTGCATGCAGCAAAAGTTTTTGCTTTGTTGCACTCGCAACACGGATAAAGTAAAATAAATTTTTAAATAAAATAAATATAATAAATAAAAAAAAATAAATACTAGAAAAACAGCAGCAGCAGCAGCAGCAGCAGCAGCAGCAGCAGCAGCAGGGTCACCTGGGGTGTCTCGAGGCGGTAACACCGCCGCCGGGTGTATAGGCAGCTCGTTCTTTCTCGTTTGTGCATTAAATATTTATTTTTTTTGTAATTTAATTATTAAAATATATTTAAATATATTTAATTAAATATAAATGCAATTAAAAACAACTTTTTGCAACAAAAAAACGTCAGCTGCTGCGGTGTACCTGCACATACACCTGAACCGGTATCGAGAAGGCGGTGGTTCTGTGTGGGTGCTCTGCTGCTGTGTATTTGTTTTCTTTTACATAAATCCACCGATAAAAATAAATAAAATAAACTAATAAACAATTAAAAAAATAAATATAAATATATACATGCATGCATTTATACTTGCGTGGTTCTGTCGCTAGCACGCTAGAGGCCCATAGACCACCAGGTGACCATTGGTCACGTGTGTCTTCTGCTGCAGCATTGATGCTTCAATTTGTTTATTTTCTCTTCATTTACTCTATTTGTAATTCAAATATAATAAACGCAGCAGAGAAAGCAACCAATTCTCAGCAGCAACAGCAGCAGCAACAGCAGCAACAGCAGCAGCAGCAGCAGCAGCACTCAGTATTTCCCTTCCTAGGAACCAGTCCCGTCTGTATCTTTCTTCTTTATTTGTTCTTCTTATTTGTTGCTATACACATCTTTTGATTGAGTCAATTGATGCCCCTTTCAGGTTTATACAGACTGCCTTCATCCTCAGCAGCAGCAGCAGCAGCAGCAGCAGCAGCAGCAGCAGCAGCAGCAGCAGCAGCAACTGGATATATTTGTTTGTGTGTTTGTGTGTGTTGTATCCTTTGTAATGTATACATACAATGATAGACCCTCGTGCTGAATCTCTCTCCCGGGCTATCGCCGCTAGCGGCGAGGTTTGGGCGGGTTGTTGTACTGGTGCTGGTGCTGGTGGGGTTGTTGTTATTGGTGGTGATGGTGGTGGTGGTGATGGTGGTGATGGTGGTGGGGTTGTTGCTGCTGGTGGTGGTGTTGCTGGTGCTGCTGGTGGTGCTGATGTTGCTGCTGGTGGTGCTGGTGTTGCTGCTGGTGGTGGTGGTGGTGGGGTTGTTGGTGGTGTTTCTGAGCTTCTGCGGTCTGTGATAGTATGCAGGAGCAGTTTGTTATGGTTAGAGACAGTTGATGCTGTGTTGCCTTTATATTATAGTTGTGGGGTGTGGAGACGATCCCTGGCGGGGGAGATAGAGGGGGGATCGGTTCCCGTGGTGTTATCTTTTGGGAGTATATATAAAATATATAAACAACCACGGGGTGTACAGACACGTCTTCTTTCTCTTTTATCTCTTTCTTCTGTCTCCTCTCTCTTTCTCGATCTATCTAGAGATACAGGACCATCAACCCTACAAACACCAGCTAGCTATCTACTGCAGCAGCTGCTGCAGCAGATGCAGTATACACAAGAGCTCTCTATCGACCTACAGGGTTGGCTGTCTCCTCCCTCTTCCTTTATTATACAACTGCTGCTGCTTATAGATAGAAGCAGCTACTGTCTCCATACCCTCCACCTGAGGGGGGCCCTCCTACACAAACGTATGGGGGCCCTTCTCTCCTCAGGGTTCAGAATACATGCAACAGCAGCAGCAGCAGCAGCAGCAGCAGCAGCAGGAAGGAGACAGCTGTCTCCGAGTTTAGAGGCCCAATGCGGCAGCAGCAGGGCCCCCAGTAGCAGGGCCCCCAGCAGCAGCTGCAGCGGAGACACAGGAGGAGACCCCACCACCACCACCACCACCAACAACAACAATATAAATAATATAAATAATATAAATAATATAAATAATATAAATAATAATAATGTTAGTAGTAATGTTCTTCTTAATAGAGTGTTACAGGGAGACGCATACACTGGAGACGATCCCGGAGACGATCCCCGACCCCACACCCCACACAACACCCCCCTCAACAACACTCTGTCTCCTGCTTCTCGTTCTAGCTATGATTCTCTCTCTCCCTGTCCTACTCCTGCTGCATCAGCAGCAGCAGCATTACTATCATCCTCAGCAGCAGCAGCAGCAAGAGCAGCAGCAAAAGCAGCAGCAGCAGCACCACCAACAGCAGGATCAGCAGCAGAAGAAAAACCACAACAACCCCCCCCAACCCCCGCAGAAGCAGCAGCAGCAGCAGCAGCAGCAGCAG